ATCACTTGTATAATAGCTACACTAACTAATAATTAGCTAATAATAATTGTTTTTAACACACATTCTCTTGTCATTTTAATATTATCAATTATTCTCAGGTTATCTGTTTCGTTATATTTTGACAACAACCTTGCCAATGTTGTCGCCTTTAAAGAGAGATACAAAAGCATCGTACATGCTGTCAAATCCTTCAAAAACTGTCTCACGGTATTTCAGTTTACCCTAAAAAAAGTTATGTTAAATATAATGCAAAAAATTAAGTCAAAGTCCACTTATAGTACAGGGACTTTGGCCCTATTTTGGAGCAAATTTAAAAATTCATAAAAATGCAATTTTGATTGGAACCATCTCAAACTTTCTATGCAACATAACAATGTGAGAATTTTTCCTTTTTCAAATTTGGCCAAATTTGGCCCAAGGCCATGTACTATTTAGCCCATGGTTTTTTCCAAAAAATGGCTTCGAAATCACCCCCAATTTTTATTACATTTTCTGATATGTATTGATGTCCTTATGCTATGTAGAAAGTTTGAACTGATTCCGACTTAAAATTTTAAAGTTATGACCATTTTTTTTTAATGTCAAAATTCTGAAAAAATCCCTGTACTATAGCCCATGGTTTTTTCCAAAAAATGGCTCCAAAATCACCCCCAATTTTTATTACATTTTCTGATACATATTGATGTCCTTATGCCATGTAGAAAGTTTGAACTGATTCTGAATTCAATTTTTAAGTTACGGCCATTTTAAGAAAATGCCAAAATTCTGAAAAAATCCCTGTACTATAGCCCATGGTTTTTTCTGAAAAATGGCTAAAAAATCACCCCCAATTTTTATTACATTTTTTGATACATATTGATGTCCTTATGCTATGTAGAAAGTTTGAACTGATTCCGAATTCAATTTTTAAGTTATGGCCATTTTAAGAAAATGCCGAAATTCTGAAAAAATCCCTGTACTATAGCCCATGATTTTTTCTGAAAAATGGCTAAAAAATCACCCCCAATTTTTATTACATTTTCTAATACATATTGATGTCCTTATGCTGTGTAGAAAGTTTGAGCTGATTCCGACTTCAATTTTTCAAGTTATGGCCATTTTAAGAAAATGGCAAAATTCTGAAAAATATCCAAGGCTATAAGTACAGGGACTTTGGCCTGCAACATTAAAAATTCATAAAAATCTAATTTTGATCAGAATCAGCTCAAACTTTTTAAGTACATTCTTATGATACATCTTAAGGTAAAGGTTCATAATAAAAGTTGCTTTTACTTCTTGTATCCATTGAGCCATTTCCTTAAAAGCTGCTGGCCACTGGTCCAACCATCGCACTACAATGAATCCTTCAACTTTCAACTGCTTCATTAGAATGATTGGAGACACATCAATCCCTTTAAAAATAGTATAAAATAATAAAGTTAATTATTCATTTGATAATAGCTTCAACCTTTTCTAGGCTCCAAAGCATTATATTGTGAAATAGCTCCACAGACTGACACTCGTCCAAATGTATTCATTTGTCTAAGTACAGTATCAAAGAAATCTCCACCAACCTGTATCAAGGGCACATGCATACAGTCATTAGTTATTGGTGGCTTACATTATCAAAGAAGACATCAACTCCATTAGGACAGGATTCTTTAATGGCTGCCTCCAGTGAGGGTATTGTCTTGTAATTATATGCTGCATCAAACCCCAGGCTCTTGAGGTAAGCAACTTTCTCATCAGAGCCGGCAAAACCCACAACTCTCATTCCTTTTATCTTTCCAATTTGACCAACAGCAGATCCAACAGCTCCAGCAGCAGCATTCACTAGTAATGTCTCTCCTTCTTTGATGGGCTTGCATATATCAAGCAAACCAAAATAAGATGTTGCACTGTACATGCATACATGTACTGATTTACTAATAATATGATGTTTCTCTTACCCTGGCATTCCTA